GTTGGGTGGGATGGAGTCTCAGGGGATCTCCAGGGTGGGGCCAACAGTGTTAGCCAGGTTGATAGTCTCAGATATGGCACCCACCTGCTGGCTCTATGGCTCTACTGGGCGAGAGTTCAGAAAAGGGACAGTGGCCTCTGCCCGCCTTTCTGTTTGGGAGAAAGCTGCCCCTCGGCTCTCATCTTGATGCCAGACACTTCAGTTCCTCCCTGATTACCACTGGTGCCTTTCAAGCTGTTTTCCTGGTGCTGTAGCTCAGAGGGAGTGAGTCTGAGTAAGGCCATGTGTAGGTTCTTTAGGGGGAACTGTTCGGGACTCCAGAATTTTCTTGTACTGACTCAATCCCTGCTGGTTTTTGCAGCCAGAAGTTATTGGGACTTATCTTCTGGGCACTGGAACCCTGGGCTGGGGGGCCTGGTGTGGGGCTGGACTCCTCACTCCAGACATATCCCTCCCGAATTTTTATCCACCACACGTGGGTGTGGGACCAGCCTGATCCGAGTCTGTGCCCCTCTTACCAGTCTGGATGGATGTGGTCTTTAATTCTGTAGTCGTCAGACTTCATTCAACTTGATTTCTGATGGTTCTGAGTGATGGCTGTTCTATATTTTAGTGTTGTAATTCTGATGTGGTCGTGTGAGGAGGTGAGGCATGTTTGCTTATGCCACCATCTTGACCACCATTTTTTCCTTTATGTTTTCTTTCTCATTTTTTATGTTTCCTGTCTCTTTGTTGAAGGTCTCGGTAAGTTCCTCTACTCTTCCCCTAGTTTCAAGGAGCATCCTTACAAGTGTTTTGAACTCTGCATCTGGTAAATTGTTTTTCTCTGTTTTGTTTAGTTATATTTCTGTAGTTGTGTTCTGTTATTTCATTTGGGACATGTTTTTTGTCTCCTTATTTTGGCCGCCCCTGTGTTTGTTTCCAGAGCTGCTGTATCTCCCAGTCTTGACAGAGTGGTCTAGTGTAGTGTTGTTCTTATGGGGCCCAGTGGTATAAGCTCCCAGTCCCCCAAGCTGGTCGCTCCAGGTGCAGGCCGTGTGCACCCTCCTGTTGTAGTTGAGCCTTGGTTGCTGTTGGCATATCAGTGGGAGGGATTTATCTCCAGGCCTGTTGGTTTCAAAGACTCCCACAACTACAGTGGAGGATCTGCTGTGCAGGAACCAGCCCAACACAGAAGGACTTGTTTCAGTGGCGAGGGGGTGCCCACTAACTTCACCCCTTGAGTGTGTCACTTGTGAAGGTGAGCTGCTGCTAGTGCTGGACCTAGGACCACTTAGCAAGATGAATGGGGCATGCTGAAGCCAGATGTGCTTGTTTGGGGCTTGTGAACATTTGAAAGCTTTTAGAAAAGTCCACACATGTGCCAAGACAGGCCATTTGTATGGAAAAGCCACTGGAAACAGCTTGGGTAGCCCTGCAAGTTGGGTGGGGAGGGGGCTCACGGAATCCCCAGGACAGGGCACACAATGGGAGCCAGGTTGACGGAGACTCCGGTATGGCACCTGCCTGCTGGCTGTGTGGGAGGAGGGCTCAGCAAAGAAACAATGGCCTCTGCCAGCACTTCTCTCTGAGAGAAAGCTGCCTCCAGCTCTCACCCAGATGCCAAACAATTCAGTTCCTCCCTGTATGTGCCTGGTGCCTTTTGAGATGCTGCCCCAGCACTGGAGCTCAGAGCAAATGAGTCTGAGTAAGTCCATGTGCAGGCCCTCTAGGAGGAACTGCCTGGGACTCTAGAAGCCCTCTGTCTTGCTCAGCCACAATCTGTGCTGGTTTTTATAGCCAGAAGTTATGGGGACTTATTCTTCTTAGCACTGGAAGCCTGGGCTGGGGTGCCTGGTATGGGACTGGAACCACTCACTCCTCAGTGGGGACTGCCACATCCAGTATGTCCCTCCTGATTTTTAATTGTCACACATGGGCATGGGAACCAGTCCATTTCACGTCTCTGCTTGTCCTACCAGTCTGTGTGTGGTTTTTCCTTTATAACCTCTGTTACAGGACTTCTCTTCAGCTAGGTTTCACGCAGTTCTAGATAATGGTTGTTCTGTCCTTTAGTTGTAATTTTGATGCGGTCGTGAAGGATGAGTATACTGCATCTAGCTACTCTAGCATCTTGACTGAAAACCTTATTGTTAATAAACACACGAGTAACCTCTATCTCATGACTCATTCTGGAGCCCAGATCCAACACTCAAGACTCCAGGGTTGATCAGGGTAACTGCCAGAGAGGTAGTAGGCTGTATGTGTGCTCGCCTTACAAGCAAAATGGGTTTTGTTTGAAAGCAGGTGGACTTCTTGGTTGAGATCAGAACATATATTCTCCCTGTGCTTACGACATGCAAACAGCAAAGCCACAGAAGAGAGAGCCTCTGGGTACCCTTCCCCAGGGTTGGGACCAACTGCCCCCAGATAGCACGGTGTGAACAAACATTAATAACTAAGTATGGCTCTTACTAAGAAATTGTTATCGTAGCATTAGGCATCAAGATTCCCCAATGCCAACAGTCCAGCCACAGGACCCTGCTCTGTGTGTGGCAGGAAAACCCATTGCCATTAAGCAGTTATTCTGAGTGCACGGAGTATGGGCTGATTGTGCGTGCTGGTAACAAAAGAGCCCCAGTGAGAGCTCGATGAAACAGAGGATTTCAGTGCTGATGGAGATTAAGTGGCCTGAGAACCGCTTTGTGTGTGAACGTCGGGGAGCTCAGGTCTTGCCACCTAAAGAGTGACACCTGATGCCTCCACTGTAGGGTAATAAACCTTGGTGAACGCAGATCTCAAGCAGGCTTCTGGGGAGGCCAGAGAAACCACGGTGAGCCCATAAATGTCTTCCACTCTGGGGACTGGAAGCCGCCTCTAGGCACTTACATTTGCATGAATAGAGAGTTTAACACTTGAGACCATTGAAGTTTCATAAAATGATGAGTCCGTGGCCTTGTTGACCAAGCACCCTGTGAAGAATACTGTCATAACCTGACCTGTCAGCAGCAGAGATAGAACGTGACCAAAGCCAAGTGGTAACCTGAGGCTTCAGGTCGGGTGCCCTTGGAAAAAAAAATTCCTAATGATTTTTTTTCTTCTTTTTTGGTGGGAATAAGGAGAGAGAACTGAAACAAGTAGTTGTATGGCAGCAGAAAAAGAGTTTCTGGTCATTTATTTTCTAGCAATTAAAAGACCAAACAAATATTTAAAAGAATGACCTTATCAGCATCAATCAATATTTATAGATCATAGTGAAGGGAGTCTTTTTTGCCTTTCATGGCCAGTCATGACAGTCATGGAAAGAGCCGCCGTGTTTCAAGAACACCCCTGTAAACTGTGCAGTATGGTTTCCTTCAGTGTCCACCACAAGGATGGACGCTCTTGGGCTGTTTGCAGAGCCTTCTTGCCCACGTTTCCCCCCTGCAGCTCCATGTACTGGGTGGAAGGAAGAGCCTGTCTTTTTTTAAATTTAATTTTAGTTGATTTGAGAGAGAGAGAGAAATTTAGTTGATTTGAGAGAGAGAAAAGATTCATTCATTGGTTGATTCTTGTATGTGCCCTGACTGGGGATCAAACCCACAACCTTGGTGTAGCAGGGCGACACTCTGGCCAGGACCTATCATAACTGAAATACAGAAAGGGAACTTTTTGTTTTTGTAGCACCACAGGTAAAAGTTACAGTTTAGAGGAGCTGATCAGAATTTGGCCAGTCGTCCAGAAAGCACAAATCCTAAGGAGAACATACTCTAAATTTCAAATTATAAAGCATTCTGACTTAGCTATCCAGAGTAAGAAGTAATATTGTTTATTACTATTTTAAATAGTCTCAACCTTATTATTATAATGAGATTTCATTCAAAATAGAATACCTCTTAATATCATGCAGGAATAGGATGAGTCTTAGCGGTTGTATCAGAAAAGTGAAATAAAAGTTGACCTCATCGCAGTACTTCGATCACTCTTTATAGCGAGCTAAAACAAATGGTGTCAACAAAAACATGACTTATTTACTTTAAGCTTTTTTCTCAAGTGATCCAGGCACCTTGCATATTTTGATTAATGTTCATGACTACAGACCACAGAGATCTTGTACATGTGTGTTCGGGAAGGCAGGAATGTGTTGCAGGTGTGCAGCCCGCGGATGCATACGGGCATCTTACTGCTTTAAGTAAGCGTTTGTCACTCTTCCCAAAGGCCTCCTGACTCGGCTTGTTCTTCATGAAGTAATGAGAGCTTTATTCTTGGAAAATATTTCTAAATGGCTTAGCACAATATAGTTACATAAAGTATTTATTACATGAGGAGTACATTTTGTGGTTACAAGACTGTGAAAAGCATAGAGACTGTGTGAAATGAAATATTTCCCCCAATGCTTGATTGCCTAAGTAAGGCTGTAAGACGGGACAGAAGCAAAAGCCCCCCTGTGGTTTCACAGATGCCCTGTCACAGTGCAGACTCTTATAATTCTCTGAACAGAATCTGATTTGTTTCATCTGGTGAATGAAGAGGTCATTCCCAGCTTCTGAACTGTATGAGGAAAGAGATCTGATAAAGGAACTGTATTTCATACTAAACTTGTACTTGGTTAGCAACGCAAATTATTGGTCTTCTTTCTGCTTAATATTTTAAGAGATTCCTATTAACTAAAATACACTTGTATTACAGCTGTTCAGAGGGGAAGCTTCTCCTGCTGCCCACCTGCCCAATGTGGTGACACTTGATTTTATGACATTTTTAGGTCAAGGGCTTGTCCTTGAAATAAAGCCCATTCTAAACTCCTGTTTCTCTCTGGAAAATTCGTAATCTCAAATTTCCAGGAGTAGTCACTCTGCTATCTTATCCTGTTGGCGACTGAACTGGGAAAAATCCTCTAGAGTCTTTATCTCCTTTCAATTCACTGCTCACCTTCCTACAAGTCTTTAAACTCCCAGTTTAAAAAACACTAATTTAAAATTTGGGAAGAATGCCAATCTTTTAGTTTTACATTAACTGAAAATATCTTTTTGGGATTACCTCAGGAGCACTGGTCTCAATACGAAAGTGCAAATCCAAGCACCGCACCAAGAGGTCAGTCTTCCGAAACAACGGATGGGCAGCAGCCTCTGGGAAGACCGACCACACACCAGAGCCGCAGACAGCGGAAACGCAACCGTGGCCTGAAGTCTCGGCTGCCTGAAGAGCTGGTCGTCAGTCAGGGACGCCAGAAAGACACTCCCAGACAGCAACAAGGTCAAGATAAGCCTGCCAATGCTTTAACAGAGCATGAAACCATTGTGATCATGAACGCCCCTGACAAGGACTCACACCACTCAAATGCACTTGGAAGCCAGGAGCCCAAAGTGGCCTCCAGTAAATCTGCAGTACAGCAGAATTCTGACAAGATATCATATAAACACACTGTTGGGTATCACTCAGTGACGAATTTTAGGAAAGAAAGAGGATGCAAAGACCAGGAAGAGAAAGGAGTTTCATACCAGCGGCTACGCACTGGCACTCTATCCCATGTGGACTTGAACTACCTTCATGGACTTCCTGAGAGACAAGCGCCCCTGAGTCACAGAGGCTCTCAGTCTCTCTCTAACATAAATGTCAACCAAGCAGCTGGAAGTAAGAAGCAACACAGACAGACTTACACAGGGACAACATATAAGAACTTGGAAATATTATGGTAAGAATTCTTTTCCCTCAAGCGGTCATCTGGGGGAGAAGTGAGAGACTGGTGGAGACAGAGCGGGGAGGCAAAGTGGGAAGTGGGTGGGGGTGGGGGACTGGGGTCCCAGGATATCAGGTGAAGGGAAAAATTCAACTAACCATGTCCTTGGGTCTGATTTCTGCCTAAAATAGTCCACTTTTATGTATTTTTTTTCTTTTCCCATGTCTCTTCTACTTCTTTCTACTCTAGTTAAACCAGAGGTTGGGGGTAGGGGAGAAACAGTGAAGGATGAGAGACCCAGTTGAAAGAAGATCGCTGTACTTTGAGGGTGACAATAATGTTTGGAGGAAACATTATGTAGTGGCTTGTCCTAAGAAAATAATCTAAAATACAGAAAAATATGTATACACAAACATATCATTTATAGAAATGACCACAGTAATCCAACAGTGAGGAAATGTCTAGTTATGCTGTGATATTTAACATCATGTAACTATTACTATGGTTATGAGGAAATGCTTCTGTGCAAAGAAAATAGCGAGGTACAAAATTACACCTAAGAGTCTGTGCTCCACTGTATTAAAATGTGTGCAGAAGAAGGAAAACGCACCAGAATGTCAATAGTGGTGTGATCTCTGGCCAGAAAGTTCGAGGGTATTTTCAACCTCTTTGTACTTCCTGAATCGTTTAAGTCCCTGAAGTATAGATATGTTACTTTACAATCAGAAAAGAAGTTATTTTAAAAATCACTTAGAGGACATTTCATGATGTCAGCCAATCAGATGTGTTTATTACACAACTGATGTATGTAGACTATCTGTTAAAATGCTACAGAAAATACAAAAGCAGTAGGACGCACAGGCACCTTTGAGGATCTCACTTTCAAAGCAGGGAGACAGTCTTCTACACGAACTGGTCAGAAGACATCGAAGTGCTACAGTTGGAGGTGTAGGATTCAGGGTTAGCTTCCCGGGAGAGGGGGCGCCTTGTCTTTTCCCCTGAATTTAGAGGGAGTGCTTCTAACATTTTTAGCATTAAAAATAATATCTTATTTTTGGTAGATAGGGAGGGGGAGATAGGTAAGAAATTCCCTCCTCTTCCTATTCCTTTTGCAAAGAACTTTTATCATAAAGGGATAATTTTATCGAATATTTTTCTGCATCAATTAAAAAGATATCTTTTTACTTTCATACTTCAGTGAGGTTAAATAATTAACATATCTAATGTTGCTCTGTCCTTTTATTCCTAGGATTCACCTGATGAGTCATACTGTGTTCTTTATCAGTTACTTGGTTTGATGTGGCAGCGCTCTGTTTAGGATTTAACATCCACCTGCGTGAAGTGAGACTGGCTTTAAGGTTTTCTGTCTACCACTGGCCCCATATATATGTGTTATCAAGATGACACCAACCTGATAAAATGAGTTGGGGAATATTCCGCATCTTTTATCCTCTGGGATGCTTTGTTTTGTTGTTGTTTATGGGCGGATTCCAACTTGAAGCTACTCGCGTTTATTGTGATACCCACATATTTGGATTTATGTCTATCATCTAAATCTGTCCCTCCTCGTCATCCTTTTTTATGCATCTTCCTTTTATATTTGCTATTGAACTGACAGAATGCTCTTTGTTACTTTTTCCCTGTGCTGATTTGGAAATATATATTCTCTTTCTATTCTTTTTTTAAAGTATTTTTTATTGATTGTGCTATTACAGTTTTCCCAATTTTCCCCCTTTTTTCCCCTCCACCTTGTTCCACCCAACCCTCCAGCATCATTTCTCCCCACCCTTAGTTCATGTCCATGGGTTGTACATGTAAGGTCTTTGAGTCCTCTGTTTCCTATACCATTTTTGACCTCTCCCCATCTATTTTATGCCTGCCAACTATGCTTCCTCTTCCCTGTGCCTTCCCCCACTATTCCGTCCCCCCACTATTCCTTCCCCACTGAACTCCCTCTGTGTGATGTACATTTCTGTGATTCTGTTCCTGTTCTGGTGGTTTGCTTAGTATTTGTTTTCATTGTTTTTATTTTCTTTTAGGTTCATTTGTTGACAGTTGTGAGTTTGTTGTCATTTTATTGTTCATATTTTTTTATCTTCTTTTTCTTAGATAAGTCCCTTTAACATTCTGTTGTTTTCTTGAACTTACATACTTAACTAGCCTGGTGTTAAATGAATATACCCATTCTCCTTCAGAACAAACTCAGAATCATTGTATTGTTATTACCCTGTCACTCTTCTGCCCTTCAAGAAGGTATTACCTTCTTTCAGTGTCTTATCCAGAACCTTCTGTCTCCTAAATTAATCACTACTTTTATTATTGTTACATGGAGTCAGTGACGTTTTATTCCTTTATTTTTCATTGAACTTATTGGGGTGACATTGGCTTATAAAATTACATAAGTTTCAGATTTATAATTCTATATACGTCATCTGTATATTGTGTTTTCTGTTCACCAACCTAAGTCATTCGGCCCCTTTACCTCTTCTACCTCCCACACGCCCCCAGCCTTTCCCTCTGGTAATCACCATGTTGTTGTCTGTGTCTGCGAGTTTGGGGTGGGGTTTTTTTTTTGCTTAATCCCCTTACCTTTTTTACCCACACCCTCAATCCATCCTTCCCTCTGACAGCTGTCAGTCTGTGCTTTGTTTCTTAGAGTCTGTTTCTGTTTTGTTTGTTAGTTTTTCTTCATTAGATTCTACATATAAGTGAAATCACATGGTACTTGCCTTTCTTTGACTGGCCTATTTCACTTAGCATAATTTTCTCCAGGTCCATCCATGCTGTTGCAAAACATAAGAATTCCTTCTTTTTTACATCCAAGTAGTATTCCATCATGTAAATGTACCACAGCTTTTTCATCCACTCATCTCCTAATTGACACTTGGGTTGCTTCCAAATTTTGATGATTGTAAGTAGTGCCGCAATGAACAGGGGAGCATACAGTCTTTCAAGTCAGTGTTTTTTAGTTTCTTCAGATGTATTCCCAGAAGTAGAATTGCTGTGTCATAAGGCAGTTCCATTTTTTTATTTTTTGAGGTGACTCCGTACTGCTTCCCACATCGGCTATACCGATCTTTATTCCCACCAACAGTGCATGAGGGTGCCCCTTTCTCCACATTCTCGCCAACATTTGTTTGTTGATTTACTGACAATAGTTATTCTGACAGGTACGAGGTGGTATCTTTGGTTTCAGTGTGAGTTTATCTGATGATTAGTGATATTGAGCATCTTTTCATATGTCCATTGGCCATTTGTATATCCTCTTTGAAGAAGTATCTATTCAAGTCCTTTGCCCATTTTTAATTGGATTGTGTTTTAGATGATGAGTTGTATAAGTTCTTTATAAATTTTGGATATTTTCCCCTTATTAGATGTGTCATTGATGAACATGTTCTCCCATTCAGTGGGTTGTCTTTCATTTTGTGGATGATTTCCTTCACTGTGCAACAGCTTTTTAGTTTGATGTAGTCCCGTTTCCTTATTTTTTCTTGTTTCCCTTGCCCGAGGAGATATATCAGAAAAAAAATGATGCTATAAGAAGTGTCTGAGGTTTTACTGCCTATGTTTCCTTCTACAACTTTAAAAAAATATTTTATTTATTTTTAGAGAGAGAGGAAGGGAGGGAGAAAGAGAGGGAAACATCAGTGTGTGGTTGCCTCTTATGTACCCCCCTCTGGGGACCTGGCCTGCAACCCAGGCATGTGCCCTGATGGGAAATTGAACTGGCAACAGACTGGCATTCAATCCACTGAGCCAAACCAGCCAGGGCTTTTTCTGCAACTTTTATAGTTTTGAGTCTAACATTTAAGTAAGCCTTTAATACATTTTTAGTTTATTCTTATGTGTGGTATAAGAAGGTGGTCTAGTTTTATTCTTTTGCAAGTATCTGTCCATTTTCCCAATACCATTTTTTGAATAGTCTATCTTTACTCCATTGTGGTTTTTTTGCCTCCTTTGTCAAATGTTAATTGATCATAAAGGTGTGAGTTTATTTCTTGGCTCTCTATTCTGTTTCACTGATCTATGTGTCTGTTTTTATGCCAGTACCATGCTGTTTAGATTACTATGGCCTTGTAGTATATTTTAATATAAGGTAGCATGATTCCTCTGACTTTGTTTTTCTTTCTCAAGATTGCTGTGACTATTCAGGATTTTTTTTTGTGGTTCCATATAAATTTTTGGAACATTTCTTCCAGTTCTATGAAATATGCCATTGGTGTCTTGATAGGAATTGAGTTGAATCTGTAGATTGCTTTGGGTAGTATGTACATTTTAATGATGTTAATTCTTCCTATCCATGAACATGGTATGTGCTTCCACTTATTTGTATCTTCTTCAATGTCTTATAATTTTTCAAGCATAGGTCTTTTAAATCCTTGGTTAAATTTATTCCTAGGTATTTTTTTAAAGATTTTATTTATTTACCTATTTATCTTTAGAGGAGAAGGGAAGGAGAGAAGGAGAGAAATATCAATGTATGGTTGCCTCTTGTGAGTCTCCTGCTGGGAACTGGCCTGCAACCCAGGCCTGGGCCCTGACTGGGAATGGAACTATGATCATGTGGTTCACAGGCCCACGCTCAATCCACTGAGCTACACGAGCCAGGGCTTATTCCTAGGTATTTTTAATGCAATTTTAAATGTGATTGTTTTCTTAGTTTCCTTTTCTAATAGTTCACTATTGGTACATAAAAATACAACTCATTTCTGCATATTAATTTTGTATCCTGCTACTTTACAAAATTCATTTGTTCCTTCTAGTAGTTTTTTTGTAGAGTCTTTAGGGTTTTCTGTTTACAGTATTATATCTTCTGCAAATAATAACAGTTATTTGAATGCCTTTTACTTCTTCCTATTGTCCGATTGCTGTGGCTAGGACTTCCTGTACTATGTTGAATAATAGTGGTGAAAGCAGATATCCCTGTCTTGTTCCTGATTTTAAGTGAAACACTTATGATTTTTGCCCAGTAGGTCTGATGGGTTTGGCTGTGGGTTTGTCACATACGGACTTTGCCATATTGAGGTGTGTCTCCTGTCCTCCCACTTTGCTGAGACTGGTTATCATAAACGGGTGCTGGATTTTATCAGATGTTTTCCTGCATGTATTAATATGATCATGTGGTCTGTCTCCTTCATTTTGTTTGTGCAGTGAATCACATTTATTGATATGTGGTATTGTACCAAACTTGCATCCTTGGAATAAATCCCACTTGATTGTGGTGTACAGTCTTTTTAATGTATTGCTGGATCCAATTTGCTAATATTTTGTTGAGGACTTTAGCATCTATGTTCATCAGGGATATTGGCCTATAATTTTCTTTCCTCGTAGTATCTTTATCTGGGTTTGGAGTTAGGATAATGCTGGCTTGGTAAAATGAGCTTGGGGATCTTCCTTCCTCTTGAACTATTTGAAATAGTTTGAGAAGGATAGGTGTTAGTTCTCCTTTGAATGTTTGATAACATACACCTCTGTGAAGCCATCTGGTCCAGGACTTTTGTTTTTTGGGGAAGTTTTTTGACTACTGCTTCAATTTCACTAGTTGTAATTTGCCTGCCAAGATTCTCTGATTCTTTCTGATTCAGTTTTTGAAGGTTTTACGTTTTTATTAACTTATCCAGTTTGTCCAGATTGCCCAATTTGTTGGCATATAGTTGTTTAAAATATTTCCTTACAATGCTTTGTGGTTTTTTTGTGTCAGTTGTTACTTCTCTTTCACTTCTGATTTTATCTGAGCCCTACTTTTTTTCTTGATGAGTCTGGTTAAAGGTTTGTCAATCTTGTTTATCTTTTCAAAGAACCAGCTCCTGATTTCATTTGTCATTGGTCTTTTATGTTGTTTTTTTTTTACACTGTTACTTATGTAGCTCCTACACCAAAGACATATTCAAGGGCAGGAAAGGGCTGCAAAGTATTTAGTTTACACCTTTCTTGACACCACATTCACTAGTTTCCAAAAGTGAACGGGCAACACAAAGGAAACAATATTTTTTTAAGATTCTATTTTATTTATTTATGCTCTGATCTTTATTATTTCTTACCTTCTACTCACTTTGGGCTTTGTTTATTATTTTCTAGTTCCTTTAAGTATAAATTTGGGTTGTTCATTTGAGTTTTTTCTTATCTCTTGAGATAGACCTATAATGCTTTGAATTTCCCTCTTGGGACTGCTTTAACTGTGTTCCATAGATATTGGGTTATTATGTTCTCATTTTCATTTGTTTCAAGGAATCTTTTGATTTTTTTCTTGATATCATTATTAACCCAGTCATTGTTTAGCAATGTGTTATCTAGCCCACGATTTTGTCTGTTGTTCAGTTTTTTTCTTGTCATTGATTTCTAGTTTTATACCGTTATGGTCAGAGAAGGTGCTCGATATGACTTCAGTCTTCTTAAATTTATTGAGACTTGTTTTGTGTCCTAACATGTGGTCTATCCTAGAAAGTGTTCCATGTGCACTTGAAAAGTATGTATCTTCTGCTGCTTTGGGGTGAAATACTCTGAAGATATCAATTAAATCCATGTGGTCTAGTGTGTCATTTAAGGCTGCTACTTCCTTGTTGATTTTCTGTCTGGAACATCGATCTGTTGATGTCAATGGGGTGTTAAAATCCCTATTCTGACTGAAACAAGTACAGTTGGCTAGAAGCAGAAAATGAGTTTCTGGTCACCTAGATTCTAGCAATTAAAAGACTGAACAAATTTTAAAAAGAATGACTTTATCAGCATCAATCAATATTTATAGCTCATAGTGAAGGGGGCCTTTTTTGCCCTACATGGGCAGTCATGACAGTCATGGAAAGAGCCACCGTGTTTCAAGAACACCCCTGTAAACTGTACTGGACAGTTTCCTTAGGCGTCCACCACAAGGACAAACGCTCTTGGGCTGTTTGTAGAGCCTTCCCACCCACGTTTCCCCCCTGCAGTGCAGTATACTGTGTGGGAGGAAGACTTGTTTTTTTATCCATACTGTAGCTCTTTGAGGGTAACAGGCTCCTTCTGACTCAGCCCCACATGGAGCCATGGTCTCACATACCCAGTGCAGGGTTAAATCTCAGAGCTCAAGCTCTTAGGTCTGAAACTTTCTCCAGGAAAGCTATCATCTTGTGCAAAATCTACTTTAGTTTTAGGGTGGTTTTTTTGGTTTGTTTTTTTTTTGCCTTTGAAGAGTTCTTGCTTCTTTTATAAATTCAACTATATTGCAAAGGATGTTTGTTTAATTTAATCCAACATTTTTAGGTATTTTGGGGTGGGAAGTTCTTTAGTTTTTCAAAATTGTGGCTTTTTTCCTATTTTAAATACATTAAATGAAAGTTTTAAATAAGAGCCAGAATACCATAAAGACAAAAAAATAGAAGCATTTTAAGGTAAGAAATAAGTGTTTTTATGAAAAGTTTAAGCTAATGGTCACTAATTTGACTTATGGAGTAATAAATACATCAAAATAATGGTTTATAACAACTTTTCTGGTGTGTGCATATCAGGCTTTGTTAACAGAATTGTGCTTTTTTTGTTTTCTCATTAAGGAAGTTCCGTTCTTCCTCAGACAGCCGGCCTGTGAGTGCGTCCCCGGACTCGCGGCTGGCCCAGGTCATGGAGCAGCACGAGCACGCCTTGCTGCAGCTGGCCGAGGTGCAGCCCCGCGAAGCGGCCTTAGCCAGTGTCACCTTCCCGCCCATACTGTCCAGAATAGAAAGCGAGTCCCAGCTCAACTCGGAGAAAAGCCAGAGACACCTCATGAAAATTAGTCGTAGCAATTCTGAAGGCTATCTGCTTCAACTGGAAAAAGGGAAAAAGCATAGGAAAAAGAGCATTAAGGTAATAAAAGCCTTTTGACAAATGATATTTTAATTTTGATAATACAGATGGACCTTGATTTTCATTCCCATCATTAGAGCTCTGCAATCCGAGGGTCACTGCCGAGCTGCTGCCACGTCAGGGTGGCCCACGTCCTGAGGAAGTCCTTCACTGAGCCCTTGCTACTGCCTGGAATTTCCCTCCTCTTTTCCTGAAAGTGGTTGCTGCCAGGGATGCCCCGGCCCACCTCCTTCGTGCTTCATGTCAGGGAAGGGTCTACCTTTGCAGAGAGGCGACAGTCCCCCTTTGGCACAAGCTTAGCCCTGACATGCTCAGAAAAGCTCCCCCACCCACCTCAGCCTGGGTCTAGGCTGAATCTTCAGGTACCGTATCACAGCCAAGAATAGTAGGGGCCAGGGCAATGAAAGCCAGGGTGCGCTGCATTTCCCACCCACCCACTCAGCCTCCAGCCACAGAACACGCCTGCTTGCCCTAACCTCACCTCAGCTGCTGCAGGCAAGTAGCAGGGCAGCTGAGCACCGGGGCTGTCTTCTGAAATGCTCACCAATCTTTACCCAGTTCTTTGTTCCCAGTAAGATTCGCTGTGACTTACACCTTTGTGCACTTGAATCTTTGTGACTGGGGCTATACTGTTAAATAAGGGGCGTTACAGGGAGGGGTGGCAGAGGGAAGTGTTTCCAGGGAGAAACGAATGAGGGGCGCTGAATGAGCCTTTGTATTTTATTTTCCTACCATCACAGGTAGTAAAATCCCCTCCGGGAAGACCACAGCTTCTAGTGGCACGTGGTCAGGAAGAAGCTGGAAACAGCGCTCCGTGTTACAGGGCAGCAGGGGGAGAGCTGGCTGCAGGCAGCAGGCCTGGGGTGCGCTGGGTCCCTGGGGAGAGGCCCTGAACCGGAGATGTGTGTGCACTGGGGCGGGGATTGCGAGTGCTCCCTGCGGGCGAGGACAGAGGTCCACGGGGCTGCGCCGGGTATGCAGGTGCCTCAGGTGCCTCAGCCAAGGCCACGAGCGCTCTGAAGGCAAGGGGCCCTGCTTTCCTGACTACACACGGGCCAGCCCCGGGGAAGGGCTCTACCTTGGGGCATAGCAGTGCCATTTGGCCGAGGGTGGTTCTTAAGGAGAAACTCAGCTGTGAGCCATGGCAGACAACAGTCTCAGCGACGAGGGGCGGGGCTCGGTCCAGAGGGGCCTGCACTACACGCAGTTTTAGAAAATCCAACTTCCACCCTACTTCAGTTTCACACGTACTTGTTGAACTGCAGCTAGAGATTGTGCTGGCGTGTGAAGAGAGTGAGCCATGACCGTCCCCAGTGGAAGTTTGCCAGTGATGGCTACTGGGGAGACACAGGTGTGGACAGCCTCAGTATAATGGTGCGATTCTGAGAGGGAGCGGGGCAGGCAGTGGGGGAAGCACTGAGGAGACCAGAGAAGGACACAGCCCCCCCTGGGGGTCAAGCACAGGTTCAGAGCATGACTGAGAGGACGATGCACAGGTTACAAAAGCAAAGAGACCGAGAGCAGGGACGGCAGAGGGGCAGTGGGCGGAAGCTGCAGGGACAGCCCTGCACTGCTGTCCCTGGGGCGGGGCCCAGAGGGGTGCACAGAAGTGAGCAGGGGCTTCGGGGGACCTTGTTTCTCATACAAACATGGGTGCTTTGTTCTGCGGGGAGGGGGGCACAGGAGAGTGTGAAAACCGTGGTGAGGCTTGTGCGCAGGCCGACACCAGAAAGTTAGGGGATCACAGAGTCAGTGGGCCCTCGTGTGGGACACCCAGAGGAAGAGAAAAGGTCGGCTTCGAAGGGAAGGGGACGCTGTACTGGAAGGGACAGTGGATGCTATTGAAGAGGAAAGAAGGGCAGGTGTGGGCTGGGAGCCGCGACTGGTGGCTCGGAGCCAGTGTCGCCCGTCTCACTGTGAACACGGAGAAATACGTTTCTGGGTTCACAAGTCACTTTCTCCCACAGAAACAGCATTGCCTGGTACGTTCTGAGGCAGCGTTAGTACTGTTTGCAAGCGCTTCACAAGTAAAGCAGGTTTCGTGGGCTGGGCAGGGCAGCCAGACACCTGCATGTTGTTACCTCCGCAGGGGGACGCGGCCAGAGCTTGGGGTCCACACGGTCTCCATGTGGGAATGGTCGCTGCACTCACAGATGACACGTGGCGAGGCCCAAAGCAGGTTCTGCAGGAGAACCTTTTGAGTTAGGGTTCTCGCCAACTACAGATTATTGTTGAAAATGCAAGCTCTTATTGCAGGTCAAGGTAGCAACCTTACTTTGTAAAGTCGCTAACCAGCTAACATTGAGGAAAAGACATCACTGTGCTAGATTACTCACCTGGGCCCAGTGTAATCAGGAGGGTCCTTAAAAGCGGAAGAGGGAGGTGGAGGAGTCGGTGCCAGAGTGCAGCTGGCCTCAGAGCCCCCAGGGCCTGGGCTCAGGCCAGGGCATCCCTGAGGTCGTCACAGTACAGTCAATCACGCGGATGGCTGTTTCCCAGCACGTGTGAAACTTGTTTACACTACACTGCCATCTGTTAAGTGTGCAATAGCATTATGTCTAACAAAGTGCACACCTTAGGTTAAAATGCTTTATTGCTAACAAATTCTAACCATCCAAACAAAAAAAGGGAAAAAAGAGAATGCAAGCTTTAATGTCAATACGGGGTGAGCAGGGTGAGTGGAAGTGGTAGCTCAGCCATTCCCGAGGCCCTGTCTCCACCCATCACCTCAGGGCTCTGTGACTCGAGCAGGTCATTAATCCACCTGCACCCCTTCTTTCCTTATAGGCATAATCAGAATTCTTCTTCCTTTTTGTAGATTTGGTGTGATAATTATGTCAAATAATGTATTAAAGCCTTAGCTAGCAAAGAACAGACATAAGCTAAATGTTGGTTTCCCTTCCTCCTCTTAATAATTTGAATTCATGTTTTATTGAGGAAAGGTAGAGGGACGTACCCTAGAGGCAGTGTGTCACCGAAAACCTCAGAGCATAGGAGGGCAGGCAGGAGGAAGAAAAGAGCTTCCAGTGACTGCTTCCCAACCCCTCCTTCCACCATGGAAAATCCTCCCTTCCTGCCTTCTTTGAGAAACGTCACAATCTCCATACATACCCGCTTTCTCCATCCAACACCTTCAGCCCACTTCGGACGGGCACACAGAAGCAGGCTTTGTCCTTTAAGCTGTTCCAGAAGCCAAAGTGATTTAGAACCCAGCTATTTGCACAGGACAGCAGGGAGGTGGGGCACCAGACAGAAGGAATCACTGTCCAGGTCATGCCCATTTGCTAGTCAGCAAATCTCGTGGTTTCCAAGGGAATCAACTTGAATCCCATTAAAAGTTTGAGGATTTGTCAAGATAATAGGTCCAAGCACCCCTCTTCTCTTCACAGTTCTGTTGTAACTAATTTAAAAATACTAAGCGTTGCCCATGCAATTAAATCCAGGCGTCAGGCAGTAAGAGATTAACACACCGCAAGAGATGACATCCAAAAATCTGTCACAACCCACCACAAAATTACTGCTGACAGAGTTCTCTGACAGCTGACTGCCTCGAGCTGAGCCCCAGGGATTAACTCTCGTGTTTGCTGTCACAGACGACCTGGGTGTTACTGCCCCACTGCTTCTCAGAAGAGGTTTACTTAGATTAAGTTTAGTAACTGCAGAGCAGATTTCCGTCGCTCACTGTCCTTCAGTATTTGGGCATCGTTTGTCCTCTTTTGGAGTCACTTTCTCACATGTGCTCCCCTGAGGAATGTTTGGAAGAAAGGTCTGGAGTGTCCCCCACGGCAGGCACGGGGTGTACACGATGAAACAGCCCTCGTGGACAGCCAGTGTCATTTCCAGCTCCAGCTCACTCTGCCCCAAGTTTACAATAAGAATTACTCTTCTGGCTTGAGAAGTGTTGTTAGTTCCTTGCAAGAATCCTCCCTCAGAAAAGCCTTATGCCATCATCTGCTAAGGTGGTGAACACCAGTTCAGAGGGGCAGGTATGGCCTCAGCAGCTGCCACCCAGAGCCAGGGGATGCAGATGCGTGTCGGTGTGTGTGTGTGTGTCTTCTGCCAGGACAAGCAGTAGACCCTCAGGGCTTGCTGAGAGCCCTATGTTTGGAGACCTAACAGGACTGTCATTGTTGAATTTTTTTTTTGGCACCATGCTATTGTGACCTTTCAGTCTTGTAACAGCCAAGGAGAAGTAAATCAAAGTAAATTCTAGGGATTATTTTACTATAAAAGCCTTTTGAAGACACGGAAAGTAGATTAGTGGTTGCCTAGGGCCGGATTTGTGGCAGGGGAAGGAGAGTGACTGCTAGCCAGTGTGAGGTTTGTTTTTAGGGTGATGAAATGTTCTAAATTGGCATTGTGGTAGTGTTCGCACAATTCCATGGATATACTAAATAACCATTGAATTGCACAACTTCAAATGGATGGATTGTGGTGTGTGAAATGTCTCATGAAGCTGTTAACAAGACTTCTGGTGGAAAGAGATCAAACTTACAGCTCTGTGAGCCAATCAAGATTACTTGAGCCAAAGTGAAGCAAATCCTGGATTTCTCACTGCTAGTCACCCAGAACAAACTCTGTGAGGGGCCATCGCTCTTCCCTGAGAAATGTCTCTGCTAGAAGCAGCTTATCCCGTAAAGGGGTGGATGTCATTTGGAGAAAGTCTACAAAAAAAGGGCTACACTCTTTTTTTCCTGTCAATATGTAATGCTAGACCCTGGGCTCTGTTCTTCTATGACCGCCAGGATGTGTTTACTCAAGGTGGTAGTAAGAACCAGGACTGGGCGGTGAACGATTATTCATGCTTCACAGTGTGTCTTTTGTGATGTGTGAGTCAGTGCAGTGACTCAAGTTAAGCCGCTTCAGACTAAGGATGTGATTTCAGGACACTGATCATTTCTTTCTCATCCGTTTTGGACAAATTGGATATATGACTTGGATACCAGTGGGGTTCTCTTCTCCTTTTTTGTTTACTTTGGTAAATAGACAGCACCTTAGTC